AGGGAGGTGCGTGTGTCCTATCGGGGTTCACTTGTTGACGGCCCCCAGAGCCAGGAGCACCAGGAAAAAGAGCAGACCCCAGCACAGAAAGAAATGACTAGCAGCAGAAGTTGGAGCCAAGGGGCTCAGGGATGCATGGCTCACCCTGACCCTGACCCCCCACCCTCAGCTTTAGGGAAACACAGAAAATAGGTCATCTGTTCGTTTTTAAATTGTGTTTTATTTCTCCATCCTTCAGGTACACATACAATGTAAAGAGGTTCACAGGGGCTAGCGGGAGCAAGGAGCAGGCCAGGTGCACAGAGGCGACACTTGAGCTAGTCGGTGGGTCCATGGGGCTCCCTAAGGCCCCTTCAGTCCGCTACTGGGAAGGAGGGGGGCTCAGGAGGACAGGGAACCACACACGTTAGTCCAGACCCACAGACCACAAAGACAGCTTCAAAGAAAGGGGCTTACAAAACAGCAAGATTTTACAAAGACCTTACAGTAGCGACATAGAAAAGGGGAGGCAGAAAAGCTACAGAACAGGTAGGTGATTTTCTTCCCATATCGTACAAAACAAACCCGCCGGACTTTTCTGTAGGTAGTATTCTTTTTCAGTGTTAAGAAACCAAAATTTCACGTCTCTCCTTAAAAAAATTTTTAAACTGCTTTCCACTACTTAAATAGTTTTCCCCCTCCCTATTTAATTTTAGTTTCCTGGTTCAGTTCTCAGAGCTGGGCTTCCCCCCTCTCCCTTTCTGGCTCTCTTCCTCTGCCCTTTCTCCGGCTCTCACTCTTCCTCGTCCTCCTCCACCTCGGCCTTGTCCTGGCCTGTGGCCCCAGGGCCCGCGGTCTTGTTCTCCTTTTTCCATTTCATGCGCCGGTTCTGGAACCAGATCTTGATCTGTCTTTCGGTGAGGCAGAGCGCGTGCGCGATCTCGATGCGCCGCCGCCGGGTCAGGTAGCGATTGTAGTGAAACTCCTTCTCCAGCTCTAGGGTCTGGTAGCGGGTATAGGTCTGGCGGCCTCGCTTTCGGTCAGTCCCTGCGCACAGTATTTAAAGGAGAATAATGAGTGCGTGTGGGAAAAGCCACGAGAGTGCCCATCTCCCTCTCAGACCCTTAGGTTTGGGGTCAGTGGGTGGCAGAGCCCATTTCCCCTCTAAACCAAAGTCTTACTTTCCATACCCCAGTGTGTGCCTTCCCTCTTCCCTCAACGTTCCTAGAGGCCTCCTGAGGCAAACGTCCCCATTTGCCACCCAGAAAGTCTTCCAGCCTAGGGCTTCTGAACCCAAGATTTAACCAGCTGGCTTTTGAAGGCCCTGCACCGGAGGGGTGTATGTGGTATAGAAGGAAGGTTAATCTTCCCATCACCCCTGAGACCAGGCACCCTAAGACTCCCCCTTTTGGATACGACTCTGATGGTCTTTAGGGTAAGAGGCAATGGAAACCATGCAAGTGGAGTGGGGCTCTAGGCCTGGCTTGAGTGCTTTTCCCAAAAAGAAAAGGAAACAAAGGAAGCTCACAGACCCAGGCTCGCGCTCTCTCTCTCTCTCTCTCTCTCTCTCTCTCACACACACACACACACACACACACACACACACGCAGAGCCTGTTGTGGAATGAGGAGGAGGTGAGAATTTGCAGATTTCCTGGGAGCCTGGAGTTGGCCTGACAGCAGGGGCCCTCTGATGACTTTTTCCAGTGAGTGGCTCAGGTTCAGACAGGGCCAGGCTGTCCTGCCTGCCCACCTGCCCAGACAACCCAGTTTTCCAAATCAATCTTTGGGCCTCCAGAAAGGCACAGGGGAGACAGCAGCCTGGCTTGGGGTGGAACATGAAGTATCTGGGAAGTGGGGACTGAAGGGCAGAGGAGAGCTTTCCAGGTTAGGCCGAAACCCTAAGGAGCCTTGGGGGAGGTTGTACTGGGGGAGGTGCTGGTACGAGCCCTCCTGGGAAGTAGACATGGGAGGAGAGCCTAGGGGCCCTAATTCCAAGTCAGATAAAAGCCAAGCTGAAATGTTTACGAGCAGAAAAATTGGGGCTTTGATAAACCAACTGGAAAGGCAGTTGAATTATGGAGCAGGTAATGGGGACCGTGACCACTAATACTGATGGTGTAAGAGCTGGGCCTCTTCTGACTGGACTGGGGAGTCTCTGACCACAAGTCTTGGGCCTTCTGAACCTTGGAGTTGGCCCCTGAATTCAGGGCAGCATGAAGAAAGATGTCTGGTTCAGGCTAGTCAGGAGACCCCACAGAGCCTGGGTCCCTTGGGGCTCCTGCAGCCGCTGGCTCAGTGGCCTGCACTCTCTAACTCGTGATCTGGCTCCATGCAGTCCTAGTCCCTCCCCAAAGAGGACATTCACCCTTCTGGAACAATACCTGCAAACTTGCTGGCCAGTTCTCCAGGGGGTACTTAGGCGCCCTAGGAAGGGCACCTGAGGAAGCCTGCTGTACTCCTATGAGGCTTCTGACCCTTTCTCTAGCTCTGCTTCCCCCTTCCCAAGTTCACTGGGGGGTCAGGAGCCTCATCTCTCTTGGCCTCAACCCCCCTCTCTCCACCTGCCTCTCTGGCTCTGTGTCCCTGGCTGGATCTTCATCTCTTCTCATACCCCCTCCTCCCGCCAAGCCTCTAGAGCCCACCTCTAATTGTCCAGAAGGGAATAATGGGGGAGCGGGGTTGGCTGGGAAGGAAGGGGGAGGGGAGAATTGCTCTGCGCTGCGGGCCCCCTCCCCCAGACCTCCAAGCTGGGGCTGAGGGACACACCCAGAGCTGAGATCCCCGGCGGGGGAAGGGAGAAGGGAGGGGGGAGACCCTAATGGCTATTCTCTGCAAACCCCAGCCTTCCTCCACAAGACAAACGGCCTCGTCTCCAGCCCGTGCCGGCGCGGCTGATAAATATTTAAAGCTAAAAGGCCGGGAGGAAAGGTGGGGGGCGGGCGGGGGGCTCGGAGCGCCACGGCGTCGGCGGAGAAAGATCCGCCGAGGGAGCAGAAGGAGCCTGAGAGCACCGAGCAAAAATGGGGGTGGGATGGGGGTGGGGTGGGGGTGGGGGCGGTGCGCCGGGTTGCGGCCGAGGGGCTGCCGCGTCCCCAGGGCCGACCTCCTACCGGGGGCACTCTGGACGCGGAAAGGAGCACTTGGCCGGGAAGGGGGCGCCTTCCGGGGAATGTGGCCGGGCCACTGCGGCTCGGGATGGCTCGGTGCGCGGCGTTACCTGAGCTTCGCATCCAGGGGTAGATCCGGAAGTTACTCTCGGCCGCCAAGTCCGAGTCCCTCTGCTCCTTGGCGCCCGCCGCCTTGGCGGAGTCGCCGGGACACACCCCGGAGAGGTTCTGCTCAAAGGGCGCGCAGTGCATGTTGAAGGAACTCGGCTCGAGCCCGTAGCCGGCCGCGTAGACGCCGGCTGCACTCTGGCCCGCCATGCCCCCCCCGCCGGGGTACAAGCCCTGCATCGAGGCGGCGAAGGAAGCGCCCGAACCCGCTCCATAGCCCGGGCGCTGGGGGTTGGAAGCAAACGCACAAGAAGTTTGTTCAGGGAAGGCTCCGGTAGCGAAAACCGAACTTGCGGCTGGATATTTAGAAAATAAAGCATTCGCATAATACAATGAACTCATAATTTGGCCGGATGATTTGTAGGCAGGGACGTTTTAGTGTCGGTTTTACGAGATTCCTTGATATATTACAGAATTAGAGTCCAGATTTACACCAAAAAGGACCCCCTTTTTCCTCTCCGGACCACGTGACCCCGCCCACGTGACGTCCCCTCCGCCAATGGCCGGGCGGCCTCCCCACGGCTCCCGGTAATGTGGAAAAAATTGTGTGGCGTTGGATTTATAAAATATGATCAATAATGAATGGGAAAGCCAAGCCCTGTGGATTGGGGCTGGGGGCTCAAGGGCCGCTGTCGACCCCCTTGGGCTGGAGGCAGCTTGCAGGCGAGATTTGGGGAGGAAGGGATTGAGTAGAAGGGAAAATAAATAACCTCCGAGCGATCCGTGTTGTCACCCCCCCCCCCACCTCCCCAGCCGGTTACCCAACGAGAAACAAATGCAGGGATTGCCCGCAACTGGGTGGGTGGGGGCAGGTCAGGTCTTTATTAATCTGGGCCAATTTCGCCTGGCTGGGCCTTTGGGGGAACTTGGTCCGGTCCTCCCGAGGTGAGGAGCGGAGGTGAGCCTGGCCTCCTGGCTCTCTCTCGGTGCCCCCAGACATACAGGCAGGGATGCAGTGAGGCTTCGTGGGTGCTCCTACAGGCGCGGGATCCAGCCCACGGGCGTTGGATGCTGCGGTTTCTGGTGGCTTAAAAAAAAAAAAAAAGTTTGAAGATAAAAAAGGAAGGGGGGGGTGGGGTGGGTGGGAAGAGAAAGGAAGGGAGGAGGGCGGCCTGGGTATACTGCTCTCCTGGTTCCGGGAGGCGGATGCCTCAGTCGAGCGTGGCTGCCGGAGAAGCAGGGGCAGCGAAGGAAGGAAGGCGGCGAGCCACGACCTCGGAGCTGGGCGAAGGTGGCCAAGTCGTGGAGAGGGAGAGGCGGGGCAGAGCATCTCTCCTCTCCTCCTGCTCCCCCCACCCACCCACCCACCCAATCCGGGAAAAATAAATATATAAGCTTGTTCAGCGGCCCTGCACTCCAGTTTTATCCACCCCTCCACACACATGCACGCACAAACAGGAGAGGGCCCACAGAAACAAAGGGGGAGTTGGAGGGGGATACAGCCACCAGCCCGGGCGCATCTCTCCAGCGTGGCCTGGGCGCCAGGGTCTCGCGCCAGCAGCCTCGGAACGCGAAGGGAGGGGGTTTCTCTGGGCTCCCCTCCCCCGTTCCTCTCTCCTCCAATCAGGCGCAGCCGCCTCCCTCACCCCCTGCGCCTCTGGGCCAAGGGACTCGCACCACCTGCCTCCAGCCCCCGCCCCCTCCTCTGGGCTGCCTGGCCTGGCGGGCGCAGGAGCCCGGTGACCGGCTCTCCCCAGCTCTGCAAGGCGCCGGGGGCAAATGAGGAGCGCGGGCCGGGCCAGTCTCGGGTTCTCGCTTGTAAACTTTATTGTAACTCTTCCGCCCTTTTCAGGCGCAGACAACAGAACAAAGTATAGAGGAACAACAAAATATATAATTAGCCCTCCCACCCCCCAATAAAGCAATTCACGGATACAGGATACATTCTCTTCACAGTAAACCTAAGAACACTTTTAACAATTGCCCACAGCGCGCATGCTAACTAAAGTAACCTCTTTTGAGAAACACTTAAGACGAAATTGCCAAACCAAAGGGGGGGGGGGGTTGGGAGGAAAAGAGAGAAGCAAGAGAGAAAGCCAGCGAGCTAGGGAGGGCAGCGGGGAGAGAGGGGTTGGGAGGGGGAAATGAGGACGGAGAGAGAGAGAGAAAGAGAGAGAGAAGAGAGAAGAGAGAGAAGGAGAGGGAGACAGAAAGAATTACGGCGTGAATAGGCAGTTTCATGTTGTTGGGAGAACTTAGCAGAAATCGGTACTTCGGTCATTACAAAGAAGCACGTTCAAAGGAAAAAAGACCATTGCACAAGGAGGCTTTTTACACGGGGCGGGGGCGTGGGGGGCTCAGCCAGGCCGCAGCCGCTCACCCTCGCAGGGCGAGGGAGTCCTTGCTTAAAATCCTTTTCTTTCCCCCCCCTCCCCGGCCCCCAAGAGAAGGGAAGGAGATCCACGGTAGCTCACACACAGAAGCTATTACGAGATACTACCACTAGCGGGGACTGGCGCGGCGGGGGACGCTGCGGCGGGAGGCCGGGCTCCGGGCCCCGCTCGCGGGGCCAGAGCTCTCTCGGGCGGGGGCGGGCGACGGCCGTGGCGTGGTCGGGGGACCCACGGACGGAGGGCGCCGCGGCCCTGGCAGTCCCAGCTGGAGCCTACTTCTTGTCGCCCTTCTGCGCGTCGCCCTCGTCCGCCGCCTCCGGGGCCCGCTCCAGCTTCTGTTTCTCCAGCTCCTCCTGCTCGCATTTGCTGCTGGGGAACTTGTCTTTGTTGTTCTCTTTTTTCCACTTCATCCTCCGGTTCTGGAACCAGATTTTGACCTGTCTCTCTGTCAGTCCCAGCGCATGCGATACCTCGATCCGCCGCTTGCGAGTCAGATAGGGATTAAATAGGAACTCCTTCTCCAGCTCCAGGGTCTGGTAGCGGCTGTAGGTCTGTCGGCCTCGCCTGCGTCCGGCGGCTGCTGGGAAGGGGGGAAAAGGCGCGACGGGGGGGGGGGGAGGGGGGAGGGGGCAGAGACGGAGAAGGTTGGAAGATTCGTGAACCAGCCTAAGAGACCAGTATAATAAGGGCAGGGGACCTTCTACCCCGTGCAGGGGCGGGGGCGCTGGGAGGCCGCGGTCAGCGGTCGCGGGGGGTGGTGGTGGTGGTGGTGAGAGGGATCAGACACCACTGAATCTAAGGGAGCCCCCTCCTCTGGTAACCAGCACCAGGGAGTTGGGTGGGGGTGGTTCAAATCTATTAAAAGTGCCATAAACTTTAGAAGGAAGGATGTGAAGGGTGGGGGCAATAAGAATAAAAAAAGCCCGGATGGGGACGAATGGACCCACCTTGAAAAGCCCCCAGAGCCTCTGCCCCAGAAGAAAAGTTTCTTCAGGGTAATTAAACTATAAAGCAATTGAGAAGTGCAAAAGTTGAGCGCCCCCACTCCCACCACCCTCTCTCCACTACCCCCATAAAACAGTAAAAGGGGGAAAAAAGGATGAGAAGAAGAAAAGTAAGGCAGGGTGAGGGGTTTATGGATTCAGGAAATGTCGCTTAGCGACCCCCCTTCAAGGGAAACAAAAAAGAAAGGAAGGAAGGGAGGGAGGGAGGGAGGGAGGAAGGGAGGGAGGGAGGGAGGGAAGAAGGAAGGAGGGAGGGAAGGAAGGAAAGAAGGAAGGAAGGAAAGGAGGAAGGAAGGGAGGAAGGAAAGGAGGAAGGGAGGAAGGAAAGGAGGAAGGAAGGGAGGAAGGGAGGAAGGAAGGAGGAAAGAAGTGGGAGGCGATCGGACCTGAGCAGGCACTTCTCCCAGGCGCTGGAGGAAATGCTCCGGGCCTGCCCGGCCCCCTGCCCGGCCTCGGGCCCTCTGGTCTCCCTTCCGCCCCCGGCCGGCCCAGACGCGAGCTCACCTTGCGGGCGCATCCAGGGGAAGAGCTGTGTGGGCGACGGGCTCTGCTCTGAACCCTCGGCCTCCTCGCCCAGGCCGCTGGCGGCCGCGAGCTTGCAGTCGGCGTACTGCACCAGGTCTGGATCCTGCGCACCAAACAGGCTCTGCCGCTGCAGCGGGTCGTAGCCGTAGAAGTTGCCCGGGTCCCCGTGGCACGCCACGGCGCACGGGTTCTGCTGGTAGGGAGCGGTGGACAGCGACGACGGCCCGTGGTAGAACTCCTGGATTTGCGACGGGTGCTGGAAGCTGCCGCCGCCGCTGGGACCGTACACCACGGTGGGTCGGCCGCCCAGGTCCTGGGCGAAGCCGCAGTCATAATAATTGGGGCGCAGGGACTCCCCGGTTTTGTATTTGGAGAACAGTGAGTTGACGAAATAAGAGCTCATTTTATTGAATTTTGAGGCGGCGGCGGCGGCGGCGGCTGTAGTTGGGGGCTGTTGGGGAGGGGGTGGGGAGGGGGAAAGGGAGGGAGAGAGAGAAAAAAAACGCGGATTCGCCGGCTCCTAGTCACCCTCGCCAGGAAAAGGAGAGGGAAAGGGAGGAGGGGGGAAAAAAAGAAAAGAAAGAAAAGGCGAAGATCTCGAAGCCGCCACACTTTTTGTGATTTCCAGGAATAGAAAAGGACAGCGAAGCCTCCAAAAGTCTAAGCTTGCATGGCAGCCGCAGCTCGCTCGCCCTCCCCCCACCCCCCACCCCCCAAACAAAAATATACCGCCACTTAAAGAGGTCCTCGCTTTACATTTCGAAGAAGGGATGCCAGTTCATAAACAGTTTTCGGTGATTTACTTCCCTGCAAATGAGTTGTTTCATATTTTGCACTGTCTTTTCATGATCATTTGCATCCATTAGAGACCCCGCATCCTATTGGCTTCTCCGTACTCCTCCCGGACAGAACGCAGAGCGAGGGCGCGAGCGAGAGAGAGCGAGCGAGAGAGAGAGCTAGAGCGAGAGAGCGCCAGGGAGTGAGGAGAGAGCGGAAAAAAAAAAAAAAAGGAGGGGAAGAAAAAAAACACCCAGGGAGAGCGAGGGGGAGAGGGGGAGAGAGGGGGAGAGGGAGAGGGGGTGAGAGAGAGAATGAATACGGATTAAATCTGTTTAACTACCTACATTAATGAGATATCTCTTGCCTCACAACAAATCAAATACCTTCGCAGACCACCCCCAAAGACTGATGTGGGGGAGTCACAGAAAAAAAACACGCACACACACATACACAACGCGCCAGGCGTAGGCACGCTGTTAATTTCGCGATTTTAACGAGGCAGTTGGAGTCTTTTTAAATGTCAGGGTCGCTTCGGAAAAATGTAAAAGAACACGGTTTAATTGCGCCGAGTTTTAAAAGGTCCTATAAATGTAATTGGTATTTTAATACAAGTTATCAAATCATACAGCTTCCTCTCCTAAACATATTTTCAAACAAACGAGGTAGTCATATTTAAGGCTTTAATGATCAATTTCCTTATTATTGATAAACGTTTAACTATCGTGTGGAGGGAATTGGCTGGGTAACCGGCCCCCCAAAAACGGCTGTAAACTCTTTAACAAACTATAAAACGCAATAAAGCCGGAGTCTGTTGTTGTTTATGCCGCAGCGCATAAAAGCTGTTAGCATTTTACGAGTTCTTTCCTCTACAGCTATAAAACTGCAGCTTCGAGCGCCCCGCCGCCCGACTGCAGCGCGGTGGGGGTGACGAAGCCGAAATGAGAACGATTATGGGTTTTTTCGGCGCAAACGGTGACTTTTCTGAGATTTCACCTCCTTCAGCTGGGGCCAGCACCTGCCCCTACCTACCCCCCCCAGCCCCCAAACCACCTCCTCTCTGCTCCACCCAGGCCACGCACCCACTCTCCCTCATTCAACAAACAAGCAGGATTTTCTCTGGAGAAGGGGTCCCGCAGGGCATGAGGAGGGACCAGGAGGGGGGAAAGAAACTTTCTGCTTAATGGGCAGTGGTGAAACAGGGAGCAAAGTTCGCCCAGCAACCGCCAAATCCGCAGCTGTGCACAACCTCCTTGGCCTGGAGAGAAGTGCTGGGATGGAGAGAAGGGTCTCCAGTCAGCGCTTTGGGGGACCAACTTTGTGAGATGGGAGAGGGGCCTGGTGCCACTGGCAGGATGACACCCAGCTGGGCAGTCCCACTCCTGCACCGAGGCCTTGGGACCTACTAACCAAGTTCAACTGGCTCCCCAACCTTCCAGCCCAGCCCTCCACACCTTCTGCGGCACCCTAGGGTGAGGGGGCACCACCGAGCCCTTGAGCACATCAAAGGGAGGGAAGGGCCATGGAGGCCGCTGCGGGACACTGAGGCCCAGGTGCTTGGTTTGAGGCTTGCGTTCTTGTCCTCTCCTCCGCTCTAGGTAGAGGCTGCAGAGTGTATGTATGGGGCGGGGGAACTTGTAGCTTTCAGCGACCTTTGAGCCATCATCACTACCTGAACTGACCTTGGGGTAGAGGGGATTTGGATGCAGCAAGGCCACAGAGTCCCCATTTTCTCTCCTCTCCCCTTGGGGAGCCTGTAGTTAAACCCAACTCTCTCTCCAGACCTGGGGACCTGGGGCCTGAGGCACAGCCTAGAAGGCCGAGCTGCGTGGGCACCACCCCCTCCTGCCTTTGCCTTCCCCAGCCTGTCTGGCCTACGGAGGGTGGTGGCCAGGTTCTCGAAGGCGCCAGTCCCAGGGTTCCAACCAATGGCTTCCTGAATCGGCTCACTGGCCAAGGAATGGAAAGAAAGAAGGGAAGGAGAGAGAGGGAGAAAGAAGGAAAATTTCTAGTAACAAAGGTAGAGGCTTCACAAATACATTCAAGCCATTGTTTATTCACCAGAGAGTGGTTTGCTTTTGGAAGGGTGCTTTGGGGGGGGGGGAATCCCATTTACCCCAACCTTTGTAAAAAATGAAACCATCAGCTTTTTCCAAGGGGAAGTTCCCAGCAGAGCCACTTGGTCCTTCAAAAGTGAATCGGGAGAATGGGAGAGGGGCTGAAAGGGAACAGAGAAGAGGCGGGGAGAGAACCAGGGTCTTGGATTTTCAGTGCGAGGCTGAGGGGGTGGTGAGGCAGCTGGAAGGCAGAGTTAAGTTGTTGCCGAAGAGAACATTTTTATCAAGTGCGGGGGATTTTATGGTCATGATTTGAGGACTCACCGGTGAGGGAGAAATTCAATGGCTTGTTCTAAATCATCCCTACACCGTGCCAGAAATTCCTGATGGAAGGAAAATGTTTCTATTATAAGAAAAAACAAGAGCAAGGAGATAATTTATAAACACCCAACGGAGCGCAGATTTATTAGAGAAACTCAAGTTGAGAAACTCCGCTTGCCTCTTTGCACCAGGTCCTGGGGGAAGAGAAGAGAGACCGCGGCGGGGCTAATTTTAAGGAGGGGGCTGTGTGTTTCTCAGGCAGGTTTGTCCGGATGGGGGACACGGATCAGGCTGGGCCGGGAGGAAATGGGAGATTTGGAATTAAAAGGGTTATGGGCAGACAGCGCGCGGGTCTCAGAAGGAAAATTGCCCGAGTCCAGGCCTCCAGCTGCTAAATTGCGAAAGGACCCTTGTCCCCTAGGTTTGCCGGGGCCGCGGCGCACGGAGCCTGAGCTCCCACCTGGAAACCACCGAACGCGGCGAGAATCGGGCTCCTGCTTCCTGCCGCCGTGCCTTCTCCCACATCCATCCGGCAAACGCACACTTTTTGGGCTGCCCAACTTGGGGCGCGCAGAACAACCGAGAAAACATACGAGACCTCCCCGCGCCTCGCGGTCCTGGGGAGCCCCTGCCCCGCGCCTGGCTCACCCGGCGCGCGCCCAGCCCCGGACGCGTACAAAGGCTCTGAAGCCTCTGTCCGTGCTGATCCGCTCCGCCCGCTTTGGGCACCTCCGAATCCCCACCAAAGCCGGGGATCTATTCCACCCCCCCAAGGTGTACCCCACACACCGCGGGCTGGCTCACCCGGTTCCCTCTGCTGCTGATCCCGTTTCGGGGCAGCTTCCTCTCCATCCGACCTTCTTCTGCCCGCTCGACCCTTTCACCTGACCTGCTCACCCGCATCCGCAGATATTCCTCTAGCCCCCCTCCCGGAAAATCTCATTTTTCCGAACTAATTCTCCTCTTTTATTTTGCCCATTTTTCTTTTATTATTATTATTATTACTATTCCCCGTTTTCATGCATTTGTTGCCCCACCGACCACAGAAACTGGGTGAGAAGCACTGAGACCTCCTCCTGGGGAAAACTCAGAAAATTGACCATTGGGGGGGACGCAGTATGCTATATCTGAAATCTATAAAACGGGGGGAACGGCCATAATGAACCCTATATTTTTATTACGCGCAAATTATTCATGACTTTCGGTAGCGCTCAGTTCACAGACTCAGGGCCGACCAAGGTGCGATGTGCAGCCGCCAGAGTCCGCAGCCTTCGCTCCGGGGATTTTCGCGTGGAGCAAGGGTGCCATCTAGCGGCCGTCCTGAGAAAAGGCGCCGCCGCCGCCACCGGTTCGGCCAGTTTCTCCGGAGAGCCAGCCACCGAGGCGACAAGCGCGAGAAACTTTCATTATTAGTAGAAAAGGGGGAGGGAAACGAGAGCAGGCGAGAAAAAAGACATCGGAAATCAGGGAATGGCTCATGAAATTGTGCAGATAAGCTAAAAAAAAAAAAAAAAGGCGAGGGGGGTAAGGAGGGAAAAAAGAAACCATAAGCTTTTTTCCTCTCGTACTGACCCCCGCCCCCCAGCAAGCCCCTAATTTCTGGCGGAGACCGCCAGGCAGTGCGCCCTTTATGGCCCGTAAAAGGGGGGAGCCGAGCACTTTTCAAACCCAACACGATTGTTTCAAATTCTGAGGAGAAACAATTGGGCTTTTTTTGCGGGGCGGGGTGGGGGGGAGAGAAGAGGCCTGGAAGGGTGGGAGGGGGCTGTAAAAGGATCAAGAGGCTGCCCGCGCCCAGACGTCTGGCCCCGCCGGACCCGTGTGTGTGTGTGTGTGTGTGCGCGCGCGTGTGCGCAGGGGGCTTCTCGTTTAGGACGCCCGATTCTGGAGGGGGTGTGAAGAACAAAGAGAAGAGTCCGAATTGCGTTCTCTGAAGCTTGTGTGACAACAAAGTGTTCTTCCCTCCCCAGTCCCCCTTCTCCCCTCTTTGCCCCCTGGGCGCCCCCCCCCCCAAACCCCAAGCCCCGCGGCCCGGGACGGGTGAGGGTGGGGGCTCCGGAGCCTGGCCCACCCGTTCGCCCGCCAGCCCCAGAGCCCAGGCCCAGCTGCGGCTCTTGCAGCTCCGGAAAGTTTCCCCTCACTGTTTGCTTTGCTGCTGTTTAGTTTCTTAACCTTCAGAAATTTATACGCTATAAACTTTTATAGCGGTCATATTCTTTTATTGCTGCGCACACGGCACTGAATTCCTCTCCCGGCTTCTCCGTCTCGCACTCTCGCGGTCTCCCCCTCTGAATCTCTCGCTCTCTTTTATGACAACAGATTTCCCCATCCCCGGCTTCCCAGCCTCCGCATCTTCGCCTTTGTTTGTCTTTCAAGAAGCCACCCCGGGCTCGGGACGCAGACGCCGCCGGAGGCTTCCCCGGGAGGCCTCGCGCCCCCTGTCCCGCCGCTCTCCGTCCGGTTCCAGCCGCGCCTTTGCGTTTCTTCTCGGCGGAAGCTTGCCTGCTCGGCTCTCCCTCCGCGCCCGCTCGCTCCAGGGCGCCCAGGATGGGGAGGGAGCCTAGTCTACACAAGCTCTAAAGCGAGATTCATTTTATAACCCGAATGGAACCCTCCTCGGAGGACCGTACCCAGGGCCGTACCCAGGAGCTTCGCTTTCTCCTGCCTTTGGCAATCTGTCCGATTATATCTTTCGTTCGCTGGAGAGGGGTAGGCCTGGCCTTTCCGCTTCCAGGCGCCTCTCGCTCGGGCCATGCTTTGTCCCCACCTCTCCCCCAACCCTCGGGGGCTCGGCGGGCTGCAGCGCCGCTGGGATGGGCCTGGCGGGAGGCTCCGGCGGCCGGCCGGCACCCCAGCGCCAGCCGGGCGGGCAGAAGCCCAATCCCAACGCCTGGCTGAGACGGGCAAGGCCGCGGGGAGCAGCGATCTTCCTAAGAGGCTCTGGAGGGGATGGGTCTGATGGGGACAGAAAGGTGCCTCTGGCAACCACATTTAGTTTTGGGGTCCGACTGGGGAGTGATTTTTTTCCCCCCTCTGGAGACACTTCTGTTGCACTCCCAATCTCCTCTCCCTGCCTATCTATGGGAGCTGCCTGCCCAGGCCTCTCCTCTTACCAAACCACCCGCTTTCCACCAAGGCTGCTACCCTGTGGCTCAAATCCGAGCCTCAGATTCCAGGTGGGGGCCAGAACCCTCAGAGGTTCACTCCTTTTGAGCAGAAGGAAGGACAGCCTGGTCTTCCTAAGGCCTCTATCTAGGCCCAGTCGCCCAGCTGCAGGGAATGGGTGAAGGAAGTTAGTGCCCAAACCAAGGTGATGTTCTCGGGCAGCTGAGAGAGGAACTGCTTCCAGCAGTGGCAGGGCAGGCCTTGCCTTCCCTCTGGCTCTGGAGTTGGTAGGGAGGTCTCCAGTGCCACTTTGGAGGAAGATATTGCTCACTGCAGACGAGACCCGTCTCCAAACCACTCATCTTTCCTTCCATCCCCCTCCGGTCTCCCAGCTCTCCTGCTGAAAGGCTCTTGCTCACTTTAAGCAGAGGTCTTGGGACCTTGGGTCCAGACCAGTTCTCAGCTCCACCAGGAAGCCTGCTCTGTGCAAGGTCTAAGGAGACACCTCTTGGGCCCGGGAGTCTCTGTTTTTTCCAAGCTGCCCTCTTGGAACTAGGACCTCTACCTCTGGCCAGGTGAGGAGAGCCAACAGAGAATGAGACACAAGGAGAGATTTATTTTCTAGAGTGATATATATTTTTTTGTTCTTTTTCTTGTTTTTTTTTTTTCTTCCAAAACAAACAATCAGAGCTCTAGGCCCCTTGCCCTCCCCGTTCCCACCCACAACCCTCCCATATAAGCGACAACTGAAAACAGACGAGACGATCACCCCCAAAGAAATCACAAAACACAGCACAATTTCACGACAGCCACCGACAAAGCAAAAAAAGTTCTACTGGAATGTCCCCTTGCAGGGTCGGGAGAAGCAGGAGCAAGAAGAGTTCATGGAATTGAAGGGGACTGGACAGATGAGGGAGCAGGGGGGAAGAAGGGAAGCAGAGAGTAAGCTTCAGGCCGATGCTTAGGTGCGATCTCGCCTCTTTCCTTTGCACGCGGGACCGCGTTGCCCAGAAGCGCGCGCAGCAGCCGAGCAGACCGCCATCCAGGCCCGAGTTGCGGGATGCAAAGGCCGGCGCCGGGGCAGGTCTCGTTCTGCGCTGGGGCAGGCAGCCGCCGAGCCCCCGGCTCCTCCGCTTGGGTCGAGAGGTGGGCAGGATGGGGAGGAATGCGCCAGGCTCCTCGCGCTGGAGCCTTTGCTCCTCCCGGCCCTCTACAAGTTATCCCGGAAGGGAGCTTGGGAATCGATTCACAATAAATTCTCAATAGGACTCTCCCGACCTGGCTTTCCTGCCTCTAGTAGGGTTGAGCTAGGAGGGGATGGAGGGTGGATGGGGGGGGGGGCGGGGGTTTCTACAAGGGGCGGCTTAACTCGCTGGTGCAAGGTGGATTTGGCCGAACAGAGTTGATTTCAGAGCTGGGGAGGATGTGGAAGGATGCAGGGCCGGTGGAGAGCAAGAGAAGCTACAGTCTCTGTCAAGCGGGGCACAGATGAACGGACAGACGACATTGTCAAGGCTTACGACCCACGATTTGACCTCCTTTTGTTGGAAGGAGAGGAAAACAACATGCAGAATTAAACATTTCCTGCAACAAAATGTGTGTGTGTGTGGAACACCTTCATAAGTCCTAGGATACCTTCATAAGACCACTGCTGCCTTTCCTTGCCCCTTCTAGCCCCCCAGCTTGGGGGCTGAGTTTACCCCCATTTGCCCTTGGGTCCAGAGGGGGTCAGTTGGGGATTCCATAGAGATGGTATTGTGATGCTGAGCCCTTTGGGCTGCAGAGCCTCATTCAGGAATGTGTCTCTAGACATCTTCTTGATGTGTTACTTGTGCCAAAGGTAAAATCTGGGCTTGCTGGTGGTCTGAGGGCTGTTCTGCCAGATTTGGGGTGCAATGGTCTGAATTTGGGGTGTCACTTCATTGAGTGTTGGCTGTGAGCTTTCCCCGTTATTACTGTGGGCTCCAGGCTTTATGTATGTGGGCTTCTTTTGGGCTGTATGCAGTTGGAGTGTCCCTGGGTGACTTTGGGGTGGGTGCAGGTAGGGGGTGGAGATAGGTAGGCTGGAAGTGAGGGCCTGGGGCTTCCCAGAAAAATTAAGGGGATTGCTAGGGGGGCTTGACTAGGGTCTCTCTTTCCTTGTGGCCCATCACCTTGTTAGAAGCCAACTACATGTCTACCTTCTAAATCAACAAAACTTCCTTCTGAGGCTCAGGAAGAAGAGAAGGACAGGTAAAAGGGCAAAGGAAAGGAGATGCTCTAGATGCAGAAAAGGACTTGGAGGAGAAAGACTCCCTTCCCCATTCACTTGAATACATCCCAGACAGCACTGGCCCTGTAGCCATCACTTATAAATACGTGTGAGATGGGGAAGGGGCGGGGAGGGCCGGGGGGGGGGTCTTCACTCTTTGCCCTGTTCCTTATTCATTTTCTTCATTTTCATCCGCCGGTTCTGAAACCAGATTTTGACTTGTCTCTCACTCAGATTGAGGAGTCTGGCCACTTCGTGCCTACGGTCCCTGGTGAGGTACATATTGAACAGAAATTCCTTCTCTAGCTCCAGCGTCTGGTATTTGGTGTAGGGACAGCGCTTTTTCCGGGAAGAGCGAGCGTGCAGCCAGTTGGCGGAGGGGTTGGCTGAAAGAGAAGCAGCGATAGAATCAAAGAAAGGAAGGGGGGATGAAAGGCCCCCATGTTCTCCTTCCAAAAGGACGTACCCCTGGCCTCCACTCCCCATCTTGCATTGCAGAGAAGGGACCTGGGCCTTCAAGTTCCCAGAAGGCGTCCCAGAGATGGGCCAGGAGTTGCTATTGACACCTTCAGGTGAGAGTTACTTGGACAGAGTGGAGCTAAACACGTACCAGGCTTCTCAGCATTTCCAAAGCTTTGCCTGCCTCCGGTCCTCTCTCAATCTCTTTCTCCACTTGGGTCCCCACTGGTCAGGACTCAGGTCAAAGCCCAACATGGCTAAAGCAGCCCCCCCACACAAACACACTGGCATCACCAGACTAACCAGAGGTGGTTGACCTGGAGGGTCCTGGCCTTGGGTCTGGGGGCGTTAGAGTAGGGTTGGGCTGGGGGAGAGCGGCTTCTATTCAGCCACAGCTGAGAAACCTCCTGGCTCTCCAGCCCAGTCAGAGTGCACCCTGCCTTAATCACAAGCTTGCATCCCTTGGCCACATGGCAGCAGGCATGTGTGTCTGTAGATAACTTGTCCCCCCACCCTCCACGTACACACCGCAAACATGGGTCTGCACTTAGAGACGCAAACATCCAGCACACTCCAATTCACATGCAACCCAATTGCAACCATTTATCAACTCCAGCCTGTGGACAAGGGAGCGCCAGGGGCTCACAGATAACTTATGGTTGCAATAGTCTCTCCTTTTCCGCTCCTGCTCAGCTCGCAGTTTGGTTAAAGCAAGTTCAGGGAAATTGGGAAGCAAGATTGCTCCAGTCCCAAGGTGGGGAGCCATGGATGATGTGGGGGTAACAGAAAGCCCTTCACAGCACACCTAACTCCAACTGGTTCCATGTGAGGAAGAGCAGAGAAAGGGGTACTTGAGTGGGGGGCGGGGAGAGGAAACAAAAATATATACAGGCTTGTCTCCTTTACCGTCTCTCTCCCTACCCTCCTGAACTCAGAAAAGTTGCCAAATAAAGCAGACCCAATTAAAAATAACAGCCACCCTTTGCTAGATTCTTCTCCCCAAATGAAAAGCACTGAATATATTTTTAAAAAATAATCTGGTTCCTCCTACACTAAGTACCGTGTCTTACCAATTTGCAGTGCTATTTCCTTAATGTGATTGCCTGGGATGGGACCCGCAGCCGCATTAAATATGAAAGAGGAAAAAAACTGTTAATAATTGATCCTAGCCAAACCACGGCCTTGCAGTAATGGGCTTTCCAGGCAGAGTTTGGAGCTTTGGGGTGGGGGGTTCTGTTTGGGTGTGAGCCGGGAGGTTTTGGGAAGAGCCTGTGTTACCCAAATGCTAGTTCTGGTTCTTAACCTCGGCTGGCTGGAGGAGGTAGCACCCTGCAGGGACCTCAGGGGAGTGGGACAGCCCTCTATCCTCCAGCAGACGAGGACGCCCCAAAGGGCCTGTGGGCTACTATGTTGATGGGAAATCTGGCAGGGCAAGCAGAGACGAAAAAAATCTGACCCTCGCTCCCCCAAAAGAGTAAGGGGTGAGGACTTGTTCCGGCCAGCCTGGAGGTTATTGTTTGGAGCTAAGAGCCCCCAACCAATTTGCCTTTCTCAGCCTTACAAACGAAAAATATGAGACTCGCCCCCCACTCCCACATCCAGCCAGCAGCACCTCCTGGAAATTAGCCAGACTTGGGTTCCTGGCGGGGGTGCTTCTGGAGGAGTGGGAGATGAGGAGTAACTACCATCGGAGGGTAAAGTTCTCCACCTTTCCGCAAGCCTCTCTTCCCACCCTCCCCCCCCACCCTTCCTCTCCCCAGGGTCCCTTCGGGATCTCTCCTTCTCCACTCTGGCTGTCGGCCCCGAAGTTCAGAAGCGATTCCCGGACTCCCCGAGAGGCGGACAGCTCCGGCTGGGGCTAGGGAGCCCCGCGGCGCGCAGCGGGGGCTGCAGAAAAGGAAGCTGCAGCCCGGGCGAGGGTGCCAAGGAGGGGAGGGGGCGGCCGGAGGGAAGGCTCCCGGGGAGGGGCCGGCGCATCCGGGGAGGGGGCTCAGTCACCGGGTCCTGGGCTTCCCCGCCCCTCCCGGCGCCGGCTGCGGACCGTGAGCGGCTACTGCGCGAGATCTGCTAGAACGATCCTCCGCCAAGCTGTTGCATCGCAAATAAAATCCTAATGAGCCCCCTCCCACTTCCCCTTGGCCGGCTTTTACGGTCTGCGCGTGGCGCGGGGAGCTCTGCCAGCCGCGCGGCCCTGGGCAGCCCCGCGCGGGCTCCCGGCCTCGCTGGCCGCCGCCCGGTCCCCGGCCCCGCCAGCCCCTCTCCCCGGCCGGCGGTCGTCAGCCTCCTCCCCGGGCTCTGAGCCCGAGCCCCGGGGGAGTGGGGGAAGGGAGGCCGAGAGAGCAGCGAGGCGGTGCCTGCGCCCCAGTTCCCCTCCCGGACGCGGAGCCGTGGGGGCGGCGCTCCTCCAGCGGCCTGTCTGCCCTTCGGGGACACCCCGCTTGCTCGCCTCCTTGCTCCCTCTTCCCTCCTCCCCCGCTCGCTCTCCGGCCACCGCCGCGGTCTCCCTTCACATTGTCCGCAGTTTATTGCCTCTCCCCTCCCCTCCCCCTCGCCTGGCCTTCGGCCTGGTATTTCCTCACTTTTTATAACTTACTTTGATCCGGCCTCTCTTTGTCCTCGCTTCCTTCGCAAATTTTATTGTCCCCGTAGCCGGGTCTTTGATTAGACAGGACGGCCTCCCTGCCCGCCGAAGTTTCCAAACTGTACTCGGGCGTGCCCTGTTTGAGCAGCTCCCCAGGCGCGCCCAGCAGCGGCTCCGCCTTCACCGCCGCCTGGCCCTGCCCCGGAGCAGCTTCGCCGCGCGGCGCCGGCTCCAGCCAGGTGCGGAGGTACCTGCTCTCGGCCGGCGGGACGCCCTGGGGCTGCAGGTAGGGGTGGTAGACGGACGGCAGGCTTGCGGACGCGTGCGGGCTCAGCGGCGCCCAGGAGGCGCCGAACACCGGCGCTTTGGGCTGGAAGCTGCACGAGGGGAACTCCAGGTGCTCCGCGTGGCCCGGCTGCCGGGGGCTCGCGTACTGGCCGGAAGGAAACTTGGCTGGAGGAGCGTCCTCACTCTCGTGACTTATGATCGAGTCGACATAATAGCTGCTAAGCGTCCCAGAAATGGACATTCTCAGACATTATCCGGGCGCTCGCAGGGGGAAGGGAAGCGCTCGCGCGGCGGCGCCCAAGCAGGGAGAGGTGGCACCCAGACCGGTGTGAGGGCTTTCGGACGCGACCCCCCCAGCCCCCCACCCTCCCACCCCCACCCCCTGCTCAACTTCTCAGCCAACAAAGTACAGTGGAGCAGCCCGGCTCAGCGCTCCTTGCAAAATGATTGGTCAAAGTTTTTCCGACTGCCTGATAAAGCGTCAGCTCCAACATAAATCAATCGGGCGAGGGGGCTGCGCTCTCGCTGTCATCCGTCCGCACCGCATTCCATATCGAGGATGGATTGTTTTATGCTGATGCAATGTGCTATCACGTCAGGGCTCCGGCGGCCACGTAACCTCAGCCCGAGCTGCCGGCCGCCCGCCCGCCCGCCCGCGCCCCCCCCCTTTTGCAGGAAGGGGGGTTGTTCTCGACATGGGGCGGCGGGGGCGGAGGAGAGGCGGAGGGAAAGCAGCGGGCTGCCTCGGGAGGGATGCAGGCTGTGGAGCCCTCTCCCCAGGCGGGTCCGGGAGGAAGCGAAGGCGAGCTGGGCAGAGGGAGGGAGAGAGCCAGCCTGGGGCGCAGACCGAGAGGCCCACAGCATAATTAAAGAGGAGGTGGTCCTCTCCGCCCCCCCCCCCCCGAAAGCACGGCCACTCCACCCCGCAGGCCTCGTTTCCTCTCCTCTGTCCCCTTGACACAAGATGTTTATTAAACAGCGGTGCAGCGGCAATCCATTGGAGATGAAGTAAAGGGGATGGGGGAGAAGTTGGGGGGGGTTATAGGGCGTTATCCGCTTTGGAGGGTTCTCTGTGACTATGTTGGGAGGTTTACAGGCCTGGGAGCTTCTCCTGACCCCTCCATAGCTGAGAGAGGAGACAGGGGAATCAAAGGGGGTGCGTGTCCAATGATCTGGTCCTAAAATTTAGCTATCCTAAAATCAGAACCTACATGAGGTTGAAGGTATTCATCAGGCTCTGGAAAGTTGAGCCTCTAAAAGAGTTTAATACAACTAGCCAAAGCTCCTTGAAATTTCTAGGGCCTCTCTCTGGCCCTGCTCAGAGGGAAGTATGGGGTTCCGGGGGAGGGGGCATAGCCATGACTCCTTCCCTTCCCTGGTAACTGCCCAGGCCCTTAAAATTGCCCATTGGGGGAGCTGAATGTGAGAAAGGGTTAAGGGAACTTCCCTAAAGTGTCAGCAGAGCAGAGGTATGGACAGGGGTCCCATGGTTATCTCCCCTGACACCCAGGGAAGAAGGGGACCAGTGAGTTTTTGCCTCTTCTGGATGGCTCCTCTCGCCCGGCATTGCCGTCCTGATAGATTTCCAAATATCGGTATTAGGTACCAGTGTAGACAGAGAGCCTGCGGGTCAGTCTCCCGACCACCCGTCGCCTTCCCTCCTGTGAACTCTGGCTGCAGCTTTCAGATAGCCCGTTTTATTGGTATCTACTATGCGGCCCTGCGCTGGGACTCCCCTGGGGCCACCGGCTGGCTTCCTGGCTCATCTCCCAGCCGCTGTTCTTCCAGCTTCTGCCCTGGGTACAGTCGCTTCTTGTGATGTAGGCACACAGGGAGGCACAGCCCCTGGACAGAACCGATTCTCCTCCGGGTGGGTTTAGGAGCAGGCTGGGGCGGGTTTTCTCAGCATTGCCGGGCCCTGGGCCCTCAACCGATAGGCTGTTCCCGGCCCTGTCCTTTTAACAAAAGCGGGGCCATTCTAATTTGAGGTTTTATCTTTTTGGCCATGTACCCCTCTGCCGTGCAGAAGGTTGCGGATCACCTCTGTGCACACACACAGACACACTCCCTCCCGCTTTTCTTTTCCAAATGAAGCCATCTCGTGTCATTACGTGTGAAATATGAGGGTGAAGCGCCATATTTCTTCACATTATGGCGATTTTAAAATGATTTTTTAAAGATCAATGCCAGCGCCGAGCCGGCCCCCTCCTCTTCCACCCCAGCTCTCCGAGGGCGACAGCCCAGCAGACCGGGAACCAAACGGCGTGAAGATCTGCTCTTTCCATGGGACCCAAGTGGGGAAACAAAAATCCGATGCAAATTCTTCTAAGTAGCGGTTGGACGCTTGGGAAAGTCCAGGGAGCTCCCCGGACTCGACAGCGAAAAAGCTGCGCGCAGAGCGAATGAATCACAGTTAAGGCAAAGCACCTGTTCTCGATTTGCCAGATGTATGGAGTCTGCTGTTGGCTTTACCTGTAATAAATATATTCTTCAAAGAAAAAAAAAACCCTCTCCTGCCGTAAATAATGGTGTTATGAAGCATGGCGGGCTGAGTATATGACTTTCTGTAGTATATAAATTAGGGCCCAAAAGGCCATATGGACTGTGGGCAGGGCCTTTTTTATTTATAGAAAAGCCACAGTGCTGGGCTGTTCTTAAAACCCAGGCCGTGCAGGCGCTGGGCTCTGACTGCGGCCCTTCTGGTTCCCATTCCCGGCCCAGACTTTGATGCTGCCTCTCTTTGCAATAAGAGAAGTCCAGAGGGACACTTAGTTTAGGGAAGAAGTTAGAGGATGAACATTTGGGCTCAGGACTTGTGCCCCATAAGGGTGGAGAGTCCCAGCAGACGGGGGGCTAAGTTTGTGAGTTGCTGTCTGTATGGGGAGTTGCTCCTAAGCCCTGGTAGCTCCCAGGTACTGGGTAAGGAGGAGACCCAGGCCTCTTTCCTGAGACCAGAGCTTCACCTTTGCTCATAAAACTGGAGGGTGGGGACAATTTCAAAATGACAGGTTTTGAGGTCTCTGTCTTCTCAGGATAGGGAACTCTGGAGCGAAGGGAATGAGCAAGCACCCACGCCCTGGACCCTTCACCCCAGCTCTCTTCCCTCCAGGTGGGGATGCAGATGCATCAAGCAATAGTCCCACCCTAGCCAGGCTTTCTAGAAAACACTGCTGCCCCAAACTGGAGCTCAACTCCAGCTCAGGGAAAGGGTTAAAGTGTCAGCTGGGAGGGAGCCCCTTGTCTGGGTGCTCTGAGGGTCTGTGGATGCCCTGAGAACCTTGTTTCCTCTCCCAAACAATGGTACCCACCGTGGAGGAGGGAGGCAAACAGGATTGCTGCCCCTGGAGTCCAGCTTCTAAAGATGCTTAATAGAGAGGTTGCTTGAGTGGGGGGATCACTTTGTCCGGAGAGCAAACTGCTCCCCACCCCACCCTAGATCCTAAAGAGAAAGAAGGAAAACCTTGCCTTCCCTCGCAGGCTCTAGCCATTCCCAGCACAGGAGCTGCGCCTGAACACAGCTAGGGCCAGGAACTGGTGGCTCATAGAAGGGCAGGCAGGGGAGAGCTGCAACCCTGGGCCACACTGGGGCCCAGAGCAGCCAAGAGCGAGGCCGAGGTGGGGAGAGCAGAGGCCGAGCCTGGCCTGGACCAGCCCAGCCGGTGAGTGCCCGTGTTACAGGGGTGACTTTTGGAAAGATTCTTGTCAATAAGGAGAGAGAGAAAATCTAGACAGAGGGAAGGAAAAGAGAGAAGGAAAAACAAAAAGAAAAACAATAAATGGGAAAAGGGGGAAAATTTGTGTTTAAACTTTGATAACTGATAAGCTAAGCTGAAATTTATGCATGTTGTATTTGGATAGACGTGTGTGTCCTGTAGGTATATTTCAAATCAATATTTATTTATGGGGACCCAGTGTGCAAAAGTGCTGTGCTCTATGCTGTGTATAGACTATGTAATAAATAAATATGCCCAACTATAATACTGGATGTGCTTGGGCATTCATATAGAAGATCCAATGGTGCATATGTGGATGCGTGTATAACCCCTGTGAATGATGTGGGTTTACAAGTCTGTTCATATAAGAAGATCTATTACCCAAAAATTGTTGCGTACATTTTTATAACAATCACACACCTATGGAAAGGGCGAAAACTTGAGTATTCGTGTACTTGAATTTTGGCTATAGAACATTATCTGATTAGGAAGCTTTGTTTGAAAATCTGCTGACTTGATATTTAAGCAAAATATTTACCGTATCCTCAAACAAGCGCATGTAACTTAAATCTGAATTCTTTTACAACTTTCTCCTAAAATAATTCTCTGGAAGGTGAAGGAAATGACTCGAATTGGCCCAGGAGAGGTTGAAATTTTGTGACTTTTTGGTTTGACCATGACATCCTTTACTGCGTATCTCACCCAAAAGTGCAGGGACAGTGTGCATCATGTGATGCCTATTTCATGGTAGTGATGGGCATAAGAATCAAGGCACCATACTTGTGCACAAGTGTGTCCCTCACAAGTGTGAATCTGGCCAGTGGGCAAAGATGAGTGCAATGTGAAAGCCCTCAGGTAACTGCAGGGGTCATATACAGCACTGCTGTCTCCAACGAAATTAGAAAGGTCCCCACGTCTATGTCCCCAACCACCCGGGGATATTTCTTCTGACCCAGAACCAGAGTCCAGACCCACTCTGAGAAAGAAAGAGGTGTGGGGATGCTTGCTGGGGGGGGGGTTGGGGGAAGAAACCCTGGTCCCCAGAACCTTCAGCCTTTATCCAAACCAGCCTCTAAAATGGATCACATCGAATCTACACCCAAGGGTTCAAACCTCAGTGCTTCCAAAGCCTCCAGGTGGGGATTTTAATTGTAAAGTAACGAAATCTCCTGCCAAATCTCCCTCCCAGGATGTCAGAGGTGAAAGGAGGAACGGAGAGGTCAGCAGCCCAAGCAGACCTCGGGAATCTTCTTACCAACTCTCAGCCATCAGGGACATGGAAGGCAGTGGGGGTGGCTGGCTCTTTGGGAGGGGGCATCTAGGAGGCCAAACGGGGAGGGCGGCAGGCGGGGCGGAAAGGAGCTGAGCAGGTAGAAGGTTATTACGGAATTGCTTCCATAAAACCTGTGGCTGTTGTAAAACTCTCTGCTTTCCAAAGACTTTATTTCCTCTTTTCTCTCTAACATCCCCCTTTTTTCTTTTTACAGCACTGTTCCTGGGAGGGGGTGGCCAAGAGACACCAGGGATGGAAGACAGTCAGGCTCCAGGATCCTGGTGGCTGGGCAGGTTTGTGAGAGGCCCAGAGAGAAGTAAGGTAAGGCAGTAAGATGCTCCAGACCACCTTCACCCAGGCTGGAGGACAAGAAAATGTCAAGGAACAGCGTTGTTGGCCTTTGCCCACCAGGACAGTAGATTGAAGGCTGCATTTCTTCCAGGGCTGGGGGTGGGTCTTCCAAGGCCCCTTCCACTCCCAGCAGATGCCCCTTGTTCAGAGATCACTCCCCCTCCCAGGTCAGCTTGGCGCCGGAGTCCCATCCGGTCAGGGCCTCTTTCCCAGCCCCTTTCCACATTTCCTCTGCCTCAAGCAGGGGGGAAAAGTTTGGGAACAAAAGTTAGCTTATGCTTTGGACCGTCCCCCTCCTTCCTCCAGTACTTCCAGTTTTTCCTTTCCTGGGCAGAGAGCCAGCAGCCTCGAATGGGTTGGGGTCAAAGAGGGTATCACAGCTTTGCCCCTGCCCCCCCCCGTTCCATCTCCTGTCAGTCCATAAGTCTGGAATGAAGGGCCCAACAGCCGGGGGCTCCTCTGTAGCAGGCAAGCCAGGCCCCTCTCCCAGTGGGTGGCCCTTGGGACCCAGGTAAACCTGCAGTCCAGCCCCAGGGTCTATGGGGAAGCCTTGGCCACTTTGTGGGGAAGGAGCTGAGGGATTGGGAAAGGTAGGACTTTTTCTGCCCCACTCCTGCCCCACTAGGCAGCCCTAGGAAGGACCCTGGAGGCCCACACGCTGAGGCGACATGGGATCCTGATATTTCCTTTTCAGAATGGGACATACAGAGTCCTCTTCAAGGACCTGAAGTTTCCTGTTGAAGTGGAGTCCTGTCCCCCCTCCAATGGTTACAAAGACCTCAAGGACCCCCCCCCCCCCGTATCTCTTGAAATCAAGCTTTTTGCCAAGTTGGAGAGACTTACTCTGGAAAATCTAAATGTAGACAGGAGCCCAAGATCCCAAGGCAGAAAGCTTGAAACGCAACCACCATTTTCTTTGGCTCTGCGGAACAGCCCAGCAAGGTGCCTCTGGTGAGTGGAACGCTCCCCATTCCCCCTTTCCCTCCCAACGCACACTGAAAAGATACAGAAGTGTAAAGACACCCTAGTAACTTCCCAGATCTCTCCTCTGGGGGAACATCCCTGCTGCTTCTGGGTGAGGGACCTCAAACCTCGTCACCACTTCGCAAGGTGATACACTAACCCTGACTCTGCTTCCCTCCCCAGCTCCCCACTCCTCCAGCTAAGCGAGGAGCAGTAACTGCCGTGAGTCGGGTGGTTTAATGTCGTTGTGTTCAGAAATCCAGGCCCAACAACATGAAACTACCTAATTCACTCAGCAGTTCCAGTTCACGCTCCAGGTCAAGGGCTCCCTGAGGGCAGGCCCCTGCAGCCATTTTGTGCGCCCAAGCGGCTGGCCCTCTAACTCCATTTTCCGCCACGACTTCCCCAGCAGAACCCAGTTGCTAGTAAACAACATGTCCAAAGACCTGGAGGCAGGACTCCAGGAAAAACCACTCTGGAGCTGGGCCTGGCAGCTCAGAGTCCAGGGACTTTTGCTCTCTTCCAGGAGCCCTGGTGGATGGGGACCCTAGGCCCAGCGCCAGGCCTGGGCAAGGCCTCGCCAATACACCTGCCTGGTCCCCGCCTCTCGGCCTCCGTCTCTGCAGCTGGAGGTCTCCACAGATAAGATTTCTCACCTTCAGATGGTAATCAAGGTGCGTCTACACTCGCCGGAGGGCTAGTGCCTGTATTCCAGGGTCACTCAGGGCAGCTCTGAGAGGCCAAAGCCCTGCTTTGAGACTGCAGTATAGACAGAGAGTGGAGGGGAGTGCTGAGAAAGTGTCTGCAGGAGACACAGACGGAAAAGCCGAGTGTGAGAAAGTACCAGGAAAACTAGGGAGCAAACAGAAGAATATGACTGGCAGGGGAAGCGGGCTGACCTGAGGAGTCGCTGTGAAGTCGCCCTGCCAGAAACGTCTTGGGGGGGGGGGGCGGGGGGGGCTGGCTCTGCAGAGGCTGAGCTGTCCCAGGTAAGACCGTCCGTTCCGAATTCATAAACGAGCCCGAGGGGCTGAGGACTCAGATTGGGACGCAGAGAGCAAGTTTGCATCTTCCTTCCTGACCTTCAGCCTGGGCCCTTCTCTCCCCGCCCCCACCGATGTCCCCTCCTGCCACCTCTCCCCACTCCAGACACCCGCAGCGTCGCAGGTGCTCACGCACACAACCCGCAGCGGGCGGGCGGCCTGGCGGGCCGAGGCGGCCGACTCACCTGGGCGGCGGCGGCGGCGTGGGAGCGGCCGTCGGAAGGTGCGGAAGGTGCGCAGCCAGCGGCCTGTCCCCGTCCGGGCCCGGCTCCCTCCCGCCCCGGCCCCGGAGGCGAGGGTCCGAGTGGCCACGTGTCCGGCGGGGAAGTCCGAGGGAGCGCAGGAGTCTGCCTGGCCGCCCGCTCCCCCTCCCGGGTATAAATCTTGGGGACCGGAAATACAATAAAACTTCACCGTGTTGATGAACTTCAAATGGTTTACATCCCCTCCTGTCCTGAAAAGAAACACGGCCGGGGGCGGGGGGGCGGGTTAAAAGGAAGGGGGAACAAATTTACGAGCCGCAGAAGCAGCCGCCTCGGCCCCTTTCTTTCGCCCGAGGGGACTGCGTCCGCGTGGAGAGAAGCAGCCTCGGCCGCCGGCCCCCGGGACTTTGCCTCGGCCGTGCCCGCCGCCGGGACCCTTCTCGCGGGACTCGCCGGGGCGGCGGCCAGGCCTGGAGGCCACCGCCTGGCCTGACGACTCACCGAGCCCCCACGCACAGCCTCCGCCGGGCTCCAGAGGCGAGTTAGACGCCGCGTCCTTCCTGCAACCGCCGGGCTCTGCCCGCCACGCCCTGTGGCCTCCGGTCTTTGCATCTTTCCGCCGAAAGCGGGTTTTTTTGCTTTTTCTTTCTGCGTCTCTAGCTGCCCGACCTTTGCCCTGACCCACCCCTGTATGGCCAGGTACTTGCGGGAAGGGGAGAAAGGGTCAGAAGGCCTAAAGGGGCTGAGCGGGGCAGGGGCTCCCAGAGGAGAAACCGAGAGGCTGCTCTTTCCTGAGTGGAGGTGACGGCCAGCGCTGAGGAGCGTCCAGATTGGCCTCTGCCGAGAGGGCGGCCACCGGCTCCCGTCCGGCTCCTTCAAAGCCTCCAAGTCAGACAAAAACCTCTGCCCGCACCTCCACTGCCCTCTCCATAGTTCTCTTCTGCTCTGGACCGTTTGTTGTCGTTGCTCTTGTTTTGTTTCTGTCCTTGTTTTGGGTTTTTTTGTTGTTTTTGTTTTTGTTTTTACCAAACTTTGTGGAATCCGGATTGGGAATCGCTATCAGGCCGTTGTGAATCAAAACCAAGGAAAATCCCGTTTGGCTGTGGGCTCCAGATAATTGGGAGTGTAGCTGTTGATTTCCTGCTCACTTTGTCTGCTGGAGGGGCCTGAGTAGTGCACTTCTGAGCGGGAGAGCAAAGGAATTGTGATCATGCCTCACAGTTACTCACCAAAAAAATACCAAAGATTCAAGTCTAAAAGGCGATGGAGGGCTAAGATGAACTCAGGTTCAGTGAGGCCTGGGGTGCAGGACTGAGGCCCAGCTGCAGACGCAGGTGGGGGTTTGGTGCACTGACATTCCCTCCTTCCCACAGACACACACAGGTGGGGCCCTGTGTGACCTGCCAACTCCACGCCCAACCCTCCTTCCAAGAAAAGGCCCCAGAACACTTCTGGGGACTTGTTTTTTAAAGTGATAAAAAAAAATGGGGGCACCTGGCTGGCTCAGTCCTTAGAGCATGCGGCTCTTGAGCTCAGGGTTGTGAGTTTGAGCCCCACGTTGGGCATAGGGATTACTTTTTTTAAAAAAAGGAAAAAGACAATTTTAAAAACAAAGTTATAAAAAATGGAATGGGCAGGGGAAATACTATGGTCTGCGGTTCGCAAATTTTCTGAAAGGCAGGCCCACTCTGCCCCAGCCAGTGGGGGATGGGCGCAGTGCCCTCTGGCTCCTTCCTTGCACCCAGGAGGAGGAAGGGGGGAGCTCATTAACAGCTGGAGGACAGGAAGTAGCTCGTTCCCATCCCGATATTCATATCACAGGATATGCAGGAGGAGGCATCTCCAGCTCCTTCCTTATTATGTGCCCTAACTCCCTTATTTCACTCTTTATCATATTATATTTTTATTAAAAATACTGTGATGGCAGCTACTGGCAGTCACCCCTCCTGTCAGGATTTGCCTCTGGGAGCTGTTAGCAATGGGCGGAGGGCAGGACACAGGGACCAGCAGTTTCCACCCCATTCAAGACTGCTATTACCCACACACCCTGCCCCACTCTAGAGGCCTGCGGTGGGGGCAGGTCCGTGTGCTGGCTCCCTGCCCATCGCTGACCTGGGTCTCGTGATTCCTGGGACCGAGGAAAGGGGATTGAACCATTTTAGAGTCTTAGAGTCTGGAAAAGCTGAAGAGGCCACAGCCATAGAACAGACTTGATCTGTGCACACACAAATTTTGCAGACACTTTTCAAGGGCTTTCTGTCTCCCCCCGCAACCCCATCCCCAGAACCCAGGCCATGGATCCCAGTTTAAAAAATAAAACTCTCTGCATGGGGCTGAACGGACACCTCAGATGCATTCCCACAGATGCCAGCCAGCCTTCTCATTCCGAGGTTGCCTGGCCTGAGAGAGTCAACTTTCAATGCCCAACACAGACACCGACCAACAGGGGCTCTGCTGCCAACAGGTGCCCTCCTGAATGCCATTCGGACGCAAGTTGAGCTAAGGGCCACTCAGCGAGTAGAGGCCACTTAGGCAATGTTTCTCTTCACCCTCAGATGTTTGAATACTCTCCCCAAAGCACGTCAATCTCCAAATTATTCAGAATTGAAAATGTAGATGACCACGCTGTAAGATTTAGGGGCAGCTTTTCCCTACTCTTGTGCCCCCTCGAAGCTAAAGCAGAATTCTAGCATAATTGGAGGCGACTGGGCATTGGATGGTGAGAGGAGGCAGAATAGACACGGATGCAGAACACGGGATCCTCAGAGAAACCGAAATTGAGACCCCCTTGCATTTAGAATCACAAGGAGAATAAATATTTCTGGCCCTTCTTCTTCTTCTTCTTCTTCTTCCATCTCCCTTTCTACGGCTCATTACGTTGGAGGGGTGGGTTTTAGAGTAGTCAGAAATGCCGGAAGCCGCATCCCTGAGACCCAGGCTGGATTTTTTGTCCCCTGATTTCTGGCCGCCGCTGGGGATGCAGCTCTGCGGTCGCGGGCCGGTGAGGCTGAGGCCGCGGCCGGCCTCTAGGCGGCGCCCTGGCGTTGAGTCCTCGCGCCGCTCTAGGTCCCGCGGTGGTGAAGGGGCCGGTTCCCGCAGACGCGCTGGGCTTGGCCTGGAGCTGGCCGCAGGCGCGTCGCCTTTGGCGCCCTCTGCCAAGCAAGAGAAACACGATGAAACCAGTGAGGGCTGGGAAAGGAATCGGCAGCTAATCCTGGCTCCATCCGCTCCCCACCCCCTACCCTCATTCCCGACTCTAGGGAGCCTTCCACAGCCCAATCGCCTTTGATCTCCCCAGGGGCCTGCTCAAGGGCAGCGCCGGAATCCTTAACCCCTCCCCTCAACTTGCAAAGGAAGACACTGAGGCCTGAAGAAGTGGTTAGCCCAAGATCACAGCAGCTATTAAAATGGTGAGGCAGGGCTAGACGACATGTCCTCTACTCCGAATGGAATGTTCTTACATTATGACGACCCCAGCAAAAATGCCTTTCTCACTAAGCAAAATTCATTTCCAGAAAGGCAGCCTTAGGGGATTGTCTGTGTTGGAAGTTTGGGGTTTTCTGGATTTAAGATCTGGGGGAGCACATAAGGGAATTGGAAGCGGATATAGGAGCATCTCAGCTAGGATTGGGAGCCAAGGCAAGTGCCTTAGGCCCTCAAAGGCACGGATGAAAAACGGCCCTGGGATATTGTGAGGTTTGAATACTTTGTCAGATGCCCTGATGACTAAGAGAAGGTGTCAGATACACGACTGCCCCATAAACCCAAAGGAGAAAGGCCTTTAGGGCAGACAGTTGGGTCACTCTCCTTGGTTCAAATGGCCTGTCGAATTACAGGAAAAGGAAACCAAATTACAGGTGGGGAGACAGAAGCCTTGTTCGGGACCCACTCCCTCTGAGTCTAAGCTCAGAGACGCCCCAGACCCGAGAAGCACGGGGTGGGAGAAACTGGGGTCCCTCTCCTTCTGCCAAGCCGGAGACGCCATTTTATACTGTGGGGCCTTCTTGGAGACGTCTCTCCAAAGTTACTCTTAGACAGAGGTCCCAGAGAATCCCCTGCGGGAAAGGAAGGGAAGGAGAGGGGCGAGGGGGCCGCCGGGGGGCCGGGGCAGCAAAGGGGCAGGCTAGGGGCGCAGCGCCGGCCCACATCCGCGGCCCCGCGAGACGCGCCCTACCCGCCGGGCACGGGTTCTCGTGGACGCCTAATTACCGAGAGCACATCTGGAGCAGCTGCGCCCTAGCCGGCCTTGGGCACATTATTCCGCGCCAAACCCTATTTTCATTCCTGAGGCTGAATCATAAAAGACTCTAGAGGCAGGATAAATTCGGGTCTGTGTGTGTCAGCAATCTTGTGTGTGTGTGTGCGCGCGCGCGTGCGAGTATGTGAGCGTCCGGGAGGCGTCTGTGCGTCTCAC